TGATTTGCTATATAATAATTTTTAACATTAGGCATACCTAAACCTCCTTTTTTTTTGAGCCTTATACCAATTTCTTTTATGTATTCTAGATTTTTTTGCCTTGATTACAAAATCCATTAATTAATCCCTGCCAATACTTAAAATCCTTTTCTTCTAATTGTATTGGGAGCAGCCTAAATAAAAAAGTAATCTTCGGTAATATTTTCATTTTAATTATAGCAATTTTCCCAAACCATGATAGTTTCGATTTGGCATATTCTTGCAATTTATCTTTAATTTCATTTTTTAATTTATTAAAATTTTTCTCCTTTAATTTTTGACTTGTTCTAACTATGTTTATACCTAAATATTTGTTATGATTGCACATTTTAACACTATATTTATTCATAAACATTTCTTGTTCCTGTATATTATAATTAAACATCATCATTTGTGATTTTTGCCAATTAATCATTAAACCTGTTATTTCCCCAAATTTTTCTAAATGATTTTTAATGTTTTCCATACTCTCAAGTGGATTTTTAATAGTTCGTAAGGAATCATCAGCAAACAAATTAATTTTAATTATATCATTTTTACCTGTTCCTTTGATTGATTTATCGTTTCTTATTGTGTTAGCTAATAATTCTATAACCATACAAAACAATATTGGTGAAAGTGGGCAGCCTTGTCTAGTGCCTTGGCCTAGAAAGATCTTTTCCACCTTCCTGATTTCTGATTTGTGGAGGGAGTGGACAGCAAGTATAGGTATATTTAGAATGTATACTTACAGAACTGACTAGGGATGCTGAAGTAGTATTGCCTTTTTTTTCCCCTTCTGGGGAGTAGTTGCCTGTCTCCATCTCTGCTCACCTGGTCTCACTCATACATACACTCCTCACGTTTTCTATTGCTGCTCCTGTAATTCACCCTTCTCTGTTCCCATACACATTTCAGCATGGATTCAGAGCATGGGCTGTGTCTCTGGTTCTGAAGCAGGAATGGAAGAGGAGGTCTGTGCAATCTGAAATATGAGGAAGCTTTCTGTCCTTGAGAGCAAGCTCCCAAAAAGGGAGAAATGAAACATGAGAGACTTTGTCTCATGTTCAGAGTGTCTTATGTTTCATTTCTCCCTTTTAGGAGTGTGACACAGAGACAATATGGCCATCTTGTTATAGAAAAGCTTTGTGAGGTGTTCTCTCTCTTAGGTATCCCAGCAGCTCTGTCATCTTCTCCTCTTCTTCTACCTGACTCTGTCAGTAGAGGGACTCAACAGGCATAACTGGAGTAGTTGATTTAGCAAGTGGCTAATTTCTGGTCTGTCCTAGAAAACTTTACATGAATGGCTGTGGAGACCACACATCTGTGTTGGCTGCCAGCTGGCCAGCTGTGGGTACTAGAAATCCTGTTGTACCAGGGCTGCCCTCTGAAGTGTCTTCTTGTGAGGCAGGTGCTGAGCAGCAGCTGTGTTCTCTTGGTGCGTCAAAGCAGAAGAATTTTGAGCTTCTGCCAAAGAAGGACATCTGGTTGTTAATTACCTGAAGCTTCTGCTCTCCAAACTGTCCCCTTGAGAGTCTCAGTGTGAACACATCAATCTGCATTGCATAATGTTTTTATAAATCTTCAATGAACAGTATGCTTTCCATTACAAATGTGATAAATTTAAGAGCTTTGTCACGAATGTGACTTGCTCTCTCATGGTTCTTTCTGTTGTTTTCCCTGTTTATGTTCATAGCTGTGTGCTGCTTTGCATAGTGTGTTTGTGTGTGTAATCGAGCCTCACACTATTTTTTTTTGAGGGGGGCATCACTTTGTATTTTATAGTACAACCCTGCACATGCCTACTCAACATCTAAGTCCCACTGAGTTCAGTAGCACTGGCTCTGAGGTAAATAGCATAAGACTGTGGCCTTAATATGAATTTTAAGATTCAAGATCTCTGCTTATTCATCTGAGGTATTGTTGTTATGTGTGGTCAGGACCCTTCTCTTTTATGGTGAACCTGTGAATCAGTGATCTCCAAAGGTCCTATTGTCAGCAGCCTTTCTCAGATTCCACAAATGGAAAGTTGTGGCTTCCTTTATTGGGTCAATATATCTCATATTTGGGCTTTCATTTCCTACCATTATGATATACCCAGAGTAGAATAGCTGCAGTTTTATCAGTTTTCCCTCTAGAGAAGTTCAGGTTTGATTTAATCTGGAATTTACTCATTTGTCCACCCCACAAATTTGTGTTTATGTGAAAAATTTTGTGTTCATTTCTTCTGGACTACCTTGAATATCCAGGAGCAAGTGGGAGGGCTTACCATTTTTAAAATAAATATTTTTTCCTGAAATGAGTATTAATATTTCACGACCTGTATCAAATGTTTTCTGTTCTGAAATGAGTATTAGTTGAGTTTTAATCTCCTTTTATATAGATATTTCTGCAAGAATTGCAAAGGTTGCAGCCCTCAACAGAGCACATTGCTTGGTGTACTATTCCTGCTATTTTCTTCCCACTGCCTTTTCAGTAAATTCCGGGAAAGCTATAATTGTAGAATTAATTAACATTTCACAGTGACATTTTTATTTACATATATACAAGAACAGGATCATTCAGTCCCATTTGTTTTTAATGCAGATTTACTTCTATTTTCTGCTTGGAAAGCATATTAATTGTTTATTTCAGGGTTTTGAAACATAACCATGGTGAACAAAGCTATGAAAGTTGCATTTCCAAATGAGGCATGATTAGTTTCATTCTTTTTTTTTTTCTTTTTTCAGAATGCTGTACAATGTGCTATATTTTCTCCATATGAGAAGCGAAATGAAGCTAAGAATCTTTTGGGATTTTATTTTATTTTTTCTCCTAGAAATCCTACTCGGGTGAAAACACTGCAAGTTCTATTGCTCGTTCCTGTGCAGCAACTGCTTTGTCTCTCTTGGTGCCAGTTTTTATTGTATCCTACAAGGAAAAGGTTGAGGAAGTCCTAAATTTGCTGATTGCCATGTTACCAGGGAAACCAAATGCAGATGAGTCTCAGGCTGTTCAAATTCACATGGGCCTTGCTTTGGGGATGTTTGTCTCACGATTATGTGAAGAGAAAATCAGGTATGGATTACCTTGTCTAGCAGGTGTGTAAATAACTCCCTCCCCATATGAGGCATTCAAATTATTCAGAGTGACATGTTTAGCTTTTGAATCCTAAAGCGGAGAGCATGGATTTTTAAAGGAAGTATTAAATTGAATTAAATTAAATTAAATATTTCAATGTCCAGATTATGGTGTTATTCAGGTTGCACAACATAAATTTATACCAACAGGATTTCAAGCAGCATGTCTTTGCACTGTGCCACCAGCTTCATTAATCCAGTTGGGACAAAGTGGATATAGGAAGGACTGGGAGCTTCATGAATTCTGTGTACAGCCTGATTTTACTTTAGTCCTATTCAGTTATTCAGCAGGTGTGTAGAGCTCACACACATGTTGAGGGGGAAATGGGGGTCCTCCATCCCTCCATTATTATGCTGTGTATGGCCTGTTCTGTCAGGATAGCTGCTGCACATGAGCCAGAAAGCCTGTACAGTATATAGCTGGTGGTGGTTGGATTGTTTCATGTAGGAGCTTGAGTATAGCAGCTTCTCCCTCTTCAATGCTAACATACTCACCTCAGTGTGAGTGGGTTCCACATGCTTTCTTCACAAACTAATAGAACTTTTCACATCACAAGAAAGCATGTATTGTTTTGTTTATTTGTTTCCAGCATTTACACACCACACCACTTAGCGGAGATCACTACTCTAGGTGGTCTTACAACATAACATAGATCCTATCCCCCTTCCCCCTTTCCACCATAAATGAATGAGTGAATAAAGACAACCAAACAAATGAATAAAATACAAACAAATAAATGAACAGGCTAAAAAACTAAATAATGGTGACAAACTTCAGATGGGCCAGGGTCACAGACCACAATTCCTTGAAGAGTGTGGTTTTGAGCAGTTCTGTAAATGTAATGAATCTAATGTGAGAAGATAAGTTGGATACCCACTGGTGTGTGTGTGGAAGTGGTAAATCACTCCTTAAATATCTCTCATACCTTGAAAGCCCCAATTGGGTCTCTATAAGTTATTTTGACAGCGCATAACACACACATTGCCTGGAACAAAGCGGAGTTCCTGCCTTCTTCACTTCAGAATGCAAATCTGTGTGTGCAAAAGCCATATTTGTGTATGGTCTTCTATGGGTGTGGTGGGGAAAGATTTTTTGTATTTGATAAATTGGGGTTCTTGTTCAGAAGCTGCTTTGCTCCAATAGAATTACATTTTTCGGTACTGGTTGTTTTTTCCCTCCACTAACCAGATGACACAAGGCTCAGTCTAATAAGATCTGTGCCTTTTCCCTGCCATCCCATGTTGTGTTGTTCTTTTTGAGAGAGTGGCTTCTTTTTGTCCTAGGATATCTACTGGTGGATAGAGTTTATGCCACAGTGCGTACTGTGGTGAGTTCATTTCCAAGTTAGAGGCTCCTGAGTCAGAAGCCTCTGAAGACCACTTTAATTGTTTTTAAAAGGTGGTGGTGGTGAGGAATCTCTGGAGGTAAAGCTACAGTAGGGAAGAATTTAGAAGAATTTCTTTTCTTAAAATGTGATTTGCAAAGTCATGGCATTTGCAGTGCAATGTAGAAGTGAATACTAGTAATACCGGATCTCCTTGGGAGGAATCAACTCTACTAGAGCTCATTTGGTGCAGATATTTTGTCTATCTGATCATACCCTAAAACATCCAGTATTTCTGTACTGATCATTGCACAGAGCAGCCTTCCTCTCTTTGAAACCCTCAGACTAGAACTACCATTGCCACTAGCTAGTGTGCATGTTGACTAGGGATGATTGGAGGGCGCTGGGTTGGAACAGCCCAGCACAGACAATAGGAACTTTTTAGAGGACTGTAATGTCTCTCTGTCTCTTTGGTTAGAACAGAGATCTCCAAGATCACACAGAAGTTAAATATTCCTGGAGAACTGATGTTCTTTGATGTGGTTACAGTTATATTCTTGAGGGCAATTGACAGCTTTGTCTTTGGCTTCATATGGTATGTAAACTGTGTTGGAGTATAAAAGGGTATGCTAATTATAGTATCTAGCCATCATGTGTTTAATAGTTGCAATTTATAGACCATTATGGGGTGAGAGAAAAGAAATGCAGGTAAATACAGCATTAGGGACAGAAATGTTAATTTATTGATCTTGTCTTTTTTCAGTGATATTGATGACAAGCAAATGAATCTCCAATTGATGAAGTCTCTGGATAAATTAGAGGACTGCTGCTTTGACACCAGTCTAGAGTACAAGTAAGACCATTATTCAGTTGCCTACATTGTGCTGGGTATGCAATGTAATCGGTAAGATTTTGAACTTGGAATACAGAACCTTAAGTATGAATTCCTGTTTAATGGTTGTTGTGGGTTTTTCGGGCTCTTTGGCCATGTTCTGAAGGTTGTTCTTCCTAACATTTCGCCAGTCTCTGTAGCCGGCATCTTCAGAGGACAGCACTCTGTGCACAGAGTGTAACTCCCTATCTCCCTTGCATTTTGTTTCCCTTCTCTTCTCTGCAATTTCTAAGGCCTCGTTGGACAGCCACTTTGCTTTCTTGCATTTCCTTTTCTTTGGGATGGTTTTTGTTGTTGCCTCCTGTACAATGTTACAAGCTTCTGTCCAAAGTTCTTCAGGCACTCTGTCCACCAAAACGAGTTCCTTAAATCTGTTCTTCACTTCCACTGTATATTCATAAGGGATTTGGTTTAGATTATACCTGAGTAGCCCAGTGGTTTTTTCTACTCTCTTCAGTTTAAGTTTGAATTTTGCTATAAGAAGCTGATGATCAGAGCCACAATCAGCTTCAGGTCTTGTTTTTGCTGACTGTATTGAGCTTCTCCATCTTTGGCTGCAGAGAATATCATCAATCTGATTTTGGTTTTGCCATCTGGTGATTTCCATGTATAGAGTCACCTCTTGTGTTGTTGGAAAAGAGTGTTTGTGATGACCAGCTTGTTCTCTTGACAAAACTCTATTAGCCATTGCCCTGCTTCGTTTTGAACTCCCAGGACAAACTTTCCTGTTGTTCCTTTTATTTCTTGACTCCCGACTTTAGCATTCCAATCCCCTAGAATGAGAAGAACATCTTTCTTTGGTGTCAGTTCTAGAAGGTGTTGTAATTCTTCATAAGATTGGTCAATTTCAGTCTCTTCAGCATTGGTGGTTGGTGCATAAGCTTGGATTACTGTGATGTTGAAAGGTCTGTCTTGGATTCGTATTGAAATCATTCTATCATTTTTGAGATTGTATCCCATTACAACTTTTCCCCACTCTTTTGTTGACTATGAGGGCTACTCTATTCCTTCTACGGGATGCTTGCCCACAATATGATAATGATCTGAATTGAATCCGCCCATTCCTGTCCATTTTAGTTCATTGATGCTCAGGATGTCGATGTTTATTCTTGCCATCTCCCGTTTGACCACATCCAGCTTCCCAAGTTTCATAGATCTTACATTCCAGGTTCCCATGCAGCATTTTTCTTTGCAGCATCGGACTTTCCTTTCACTTCCAGGCACGTCCACAGCTGAGTGTCCTTTCGGCTTTAGCACAACCACTTCATTAGCCTTCTGACCTGAGGGTCCCATCTTCCAGCGTCATATTTTTTAGCCTTTTGTTTCTGATCATGGGGCGTTCTTGGCAAAGATACTGGAGTGGCATTGACAGTTCCTACTCCAGGTGGATTGCGTTTAGTCGGAACTCTCCACTATGACCTCTCCATCTTGGGTGTCCATGCACGGCATAGCCCATAGCTTCTCTGAGTTACTCAAGCCCCTTCACCACAGCAAGGTAGCAATCCGTGAAGGGGGAGAGAGAGAGTAAGATACACTTAAGACAGACCTGGGCAAAGTGCGGCCCGGCTCCTGTCTGGCCCGAGGAAGTTTTGAACATCAAAACCATTTATTGCTTTTTGCCTAAAATTGATCAGTTGCTTATCTTTAACATACCGCAAAAAAATCTCTTTAGTATTTGTGAAGATTAACAAGTTTAAAATAAAAACAATCATAACATCACTGTTTCATTTTATTTTTAGGTAAAGTTGGTTCAGCCCCCGAACACAGTTCAGATTTTTCATGTGGCCCCCCCCTATAGAAATTAATTGCCCACCCCTGACTTAAGAGGAGGGGAATACGCTAGGCTCCACCCCTTCCTTTGCCACTTTTCACAGGAAGAGTGACTTTTTAACCAGCATTACCTCCTATTGGTGGAAGCTTAGTTCAGAAGCCTAAGGTTCCAGATCACATGGTGAGTAATAGAAGAGGTGTCCTTCTTCAAACCATCACTCGTGAGAAGAAGGATAGCTGAGTGGGTGGAGCTAACACACCCTCTTCCTTGCTTGCTGTTTTAAAGTATCTTTTGAATACTTGAAGAGGAGTTATAACTATTTCTGCCTGTCTATTGATGTTAGTTTCATAGCTTTACATGTGATTGCCTGGAAATGAAGCGCTTGAAAATAATTGTTTTCATTTCTAACCAATACTGAAAGAATGAACACTTCCTTTCAAAGGTGACTACAGTGATCATGAAGAAAACTGTGGTTCTAAATCATCTATGCCAAAATCGTCTTTCTAACTAGCCTGGAGAAGATATATATATATTTTTAAAAATATTTTAGTTTCAGTGACCGTTGTCAGAGATCTATGATGTATTGCTGCCCCCTAGTGGGAAAGAACATTATATGTAATATTTTTCTTTAGTTGTCAATAGCAAATTGTTTTGCTAATGATGTATTTGACTGCAGGAGAGATATGTTGGAAATATGTGGGAATATATTAGTGATAGTAATTGTTAAAGATTGATATGGATTCAAGAGATGAGGAGCCTTTGGTCCTTCAGACAGTTGGGGCTAAAACAGCTTTTACCCCATGTGGGGTGGTGCTGAGGGAGCTTGGAGTACAAAATATCTGGAAACCCAGAGATTTCCCACTTATGCTGCAGTATATTCCAGGATACAAGCCAGTGTAGGTATTTTGCAATCTAAAGCATTGTCTTTTTTGCCAGTCACACAAAATAAATGCACAGGTTTCATGACTTATGTGTATTTACAGATCTTCCTGCTATGGCACATGTGAAGAACACATGGAAGTGACTTTATATTGAGGATATCACAGTGAACCATGCAATATCTAGGGCTGTTTTCAGAGTGTGAACAGCTACCAGATATATCTCATGTTGTTGTTGTTTAGTCGTTTAGTCGTGCCCGACTCTTCGTGACCCCATGGACCAGAGCATGCCAGGCCCTCCTGTCTTCCACTGCCTCCTGGAGTTGGGTTAAATTCATGTTGGTCACTTCGATGACACTGTCCAACCATCTCGTCCTCTGTCGTCCCCGTCTCCTCTTGCCTTCACGCTTTCCCAACATTAGCGTCTTTTCCAGGGAGTCTTCTCTAGGGAGGCCATATCTCATGACATGGCCTCAAATACTGTTGAATATGCACATGTAAATAAGCCATCAAAAGAAAGAAAGAAAGAAAGAAAGAAAGAAAAGAAAAGAAAAGAAAAGAAAAAATGGAATTTTGGCTAATACAAAAAAAGTCATGCCCAACAGCACTTCTCAAAATAAGCTAATTCATCTGTTAAATGCCTGAAGAATGCAATCATACTAGGCATATGCACAGACCCTAAAGTTTGGTTTTGAATCAGATCTGGCACTTTCAAAATCAACTCACTTCTTCTCTGGCCAACTTGGACTCATTTGTTGTTGAGATTCAGTAATGTAAAGGTTCATACTTCATACTGACCATCAAGGGAAATATAATGACTATGACTTTTATATCTTCCACTTTATTTGTGGAAACAACCAAACCAGTCTGAAGGGCCCACATCTACTCATTAAATGAATATGATGCATAAATGTAATGCATTAATACATAACTTTGATTTGCTCTTTGCAGCTCTCTGAATGAATTTGTAACTCCATGGAAATCTTTAGTAAAAGGTGAAAGATTTATATGATCTGAAGAGAAACCAGAGTATAGCTTCTGTCTCACACCTTCTTGGAGCAATAACTAAATTTCATTATAATGCTGGGAATCAGTTCGTTCCAGCTGCCATCCATATTTTCCAGGCTAAACTGATTAATCGCCTGCTCTATGGTGTCCCAATCTGGATCAATGCCATGAACAATAAAGTTGATCTATTGGCTGCCTCCTTCTATAGACGGATTCTAGGGATCCCCAACTGAATTAAACTACCTACTATAGCCCTAGAGTTAGGCCTGCATCTCCCCTCAATGACGGCGTGGGCACTCACTTTTAAATTCTGGCTGCGTCTCTTCTTTAAAATAGACCCAGATTCTCTCCTTGTTCACCTTCTCAAAGACCCTTACCAATCCGCATGGTTTGCCCAATGTGAATCCAAACTTGTGTCCATTGGCATATCTTCAAATTCTCTTCTTAACAGTAATTTTAATCAAGCACTTTCCCTTATTAAGGAGAGACTATGGGAGTCTGAGTATCTCCAGTTAGTTTCCAATGTGAATCAGACATGTTCCCCAGTCCATTTCGGTATCTTCCCCTCCTTTGGTTCTGGACACTCTTATTTCCAGTCCTTGGTGAACCCCTTTATCAGGAGGGCCTTTATGTTAGCCCGGCTGAACATTTTCCCTTCAGAGGTTCTTAAGGGACGATATGCTCGGGTACCTTTCGAGCAAAGAATCTGCAATTTCTGCGGTTTAAAGCCCAACTCAGTCACACACATTCTCTGTTTCTGTCCTGAGTTCAAAGATATTCGTGCTTGTATCTTAGGCCCAATCATTTCAGACTTTTCTGGCCCTCCCCAGCTTATCACAGGTTTCCTCCTTGATGACTACTCACAAGAAACAACGGCCTTAGTAGCAGAGTTTCTTGCAAAGGTTCTTTTCTCCCAGGTCTCTAAAAATTAACCAGACAATCCCAAGGTGCCAATAAAGGTTATTGAATTGATTGATTGAATTTGTAACTTCACCTATGCCTGTGCATTCAGTTGTAAGCTTAACTGGTTGTGTATCATTTGTAGAAATAAAAGAGATTTGTGGCAATATTCAGGTATTGAAGAAAACATAGTTATCCTATGTATATGGTTAAAATATGGCTCTATTTCTGTTTCCTTACCTTTCTTTCTGTATCTTTTCTTAAGCACTGGATGCATCCTGGGTGTAGGACTTGTTCTGTCAAGGATGAATTGCAGCAGCCTAACAGATTCCCTAGGGCACATCTCAGCTTCCTTGAATAAACTTTGCAAATACTTGAATGATGCAGAAGACCAAAGCAGAACCTTCCAGGAAGTATGGAGATGGTTGTTTCTAGTTTTTCTGTGCTTGCTATTCACCCATGCTTTCTTCAATTCAAATTTTGTATTTTTCAAATCATATGAAAAATCTCACTAATTACTGCTAATTATGTACTGTTCTTTTGTTTACACAGATTCTTGCCTACACTGTCGCCTGTGTCTGTTTTTCTGCCTTCAGTGTTAAGATCATTGAAGCCATGGAGGCTGAAGAGATCATGAACAAGTTGCAGAGATTAGCAGAAGCTAATCAGCAGGTTGTATATTAGAGCATTTCTGCTCTATTTTGTGTTTGCAGAAAGCTTCTGTGATGTTATGGCCAAGCTCCTATTGGCATAAATTTTGAAGGTAAATTGCCTCAAGTCTGTTGCATACTGAGTTGTCCAACGTGATAAGCAGCACCTAATGCCTATGGTCAAATGTTCAGATGAACAAAAGTTCTGTATCACTTATATAAATGTTAATTGGGGTGGGGGATATTAGGGAATTGCCACTTGCAGAATTGATTAAAAGAAATAGAATGAGGGAATGAGGCAGTGGTTTTGCAGAACTGGGTCTGCAAAGGATTTTGAAGGAAGACAAACAGACAATGTACAAGATAGTTCTCGGAAGAACTGGCATGCATAAGTTAGAGCAGTTTAAAGTGTATATTCCAATCTTTTCAAACCTCGCTTCTTCCTGTAGTCCAAGCCTGAAATAGTAATAATTATTATTTAAAATATTTTAACCAGCCTTTCTTCTTAATAAGAACGCAAGGCTGATTACATTATTAAAAGACAATATTTGGAGGGAAAAACAGTAAGTATAAAAATACTAAAAAAGATCAAACAAATACCACTCTAATAAATGGTAAACAAAAGCAATACTAAAACACATTAAAGGGAGTAAAGCACAACAATCCATTCAAAAAATCCCACTCAAGCAGCCAGTCACTTAGGGAAAGCTTGCCTAAAGAGGAAGATATTTGCCTGCTTGCAAAGATGGAGCCAGCCTGGCCTCCGGTGGGAGGGAGTTCCAAACTTTGGGAGCAACAGTAGAGAAAACCTTCTCCTATGTCTCCATGAATCACATCTGTGAGAGTGGTGGGACTGAGAGAAAGGCTTCTTCTGATGATCTTAACACCCAAGCAGGCTCATAAAAGAGGGTTCTGTTCCTTGAGATAGCTGGCACCCAAACAGTTTAGGGCTTTATAGATTTGAACCAGCCTGGGTTTTGAATTGTGCCTGGACATGGATCAACAGCCAGTGGAGCTGCTGTAGCAGGAGGGTTATGTGATCTTTGTGACCAACCCCAGTTAGCAATGTGGCAGCCATGTTTTGGACCTGCTGAAGTTTCCAAAGACATTCCAGAGGCAACCCCAAGTACAGCATGTTCTTTTAGAAAACATCTATCCAAACCTCATAAATCGATCGAGATATCTCTGATGTTGTTCCTTGCTGTTGTTTAGTCATTAAGTTATGTCTGACTCTTCATGACCCCATGGACCAGAGCACGCCGGGCCCTCCAAAGGCTTTTGCATAGTCAATGAAGCAGAAGTAGATGTTTTTCTGGAACTCTCTGGCTTTCTCCATAATCCAGCACATGTTAGCAATTTGGTCTCTAGTTCCTCTGCCTCTTTGAAATCCAGCTTGTACTTCTGGGAGTTCTCGGTCCACAAACTGCTGAAGCCTACCTTATAGGATTTTGAGCATAACCTCGCTAGCATGTGAAATGAATGCAATTGTATGGTAGATGGAGTATTCTTTGGCACTGCCCTCCTTTGGGATTGGAATGTAGACTGATTTTTTCCAATCCTCTGGCCACTGATGAGTTTTCCAAACTTGCTGGCATATTGAATGTAGCACCTTAATTCCGCTTCTATGTGGTCCCTACCATTTTTGTCCTTTATCACGTCCATCTTTGCAAAAAATGTACCTTTAATATCTCCAATTTTTTAAAGAGATCTCTGGTTTTTCCCTTTCTCTTATTTTCCTCTGTTTCTTTGCACTGTTCATTTAAGAAGTCCATCTTGTCTTTCTTTGCTATTCTTTGGAAATCTGCATTCCATTTTCTGTAACTTTCCCTTGCATTTTGCTTCCTCTTCTCTGCAATTTCTAAGGTCTCGCTGGACAGCCACTTTGCTTTCTTGAATTTCCTTTTCTATGGGATGGTTTTTGTTGCTTCCTCCTGAATAATGTTACATAGGTCCATCCATAGTTCTTCAGGCACTCTGTCCAATCATCTACAGTAGTTCCTTAAATCTGTTCTTCACTTTCACTATGTTCATAAGGGATTTGGTTTAGATTATACCTGACTAGCCCGGTGGTTTTTCCTACTTTCTTCAGTTTAAGCTTGAGTTTTGCTATAAGAAGCTGATGATCAGACCCACAATCAGCTCCAGGTCTTGTTTTTGCTGACTGTATAGAGCTTCTCTATCTTTGACTGCAGAAAATATAATCAATTTGATTTTGTTATTGCTCATCTGGTGATGTCCATGTGTAGTTGGAAAAGAGTGTTTGCTATGACCAGCTTGTTCTCTTGACAAAACTCTATTAGCCTTTGCCCTGCTTCAAGGGCAAACTTACCTGTTGTCCCTTTTATCTCTTGATTCCCTACTTTAGTATTCCAGTCCCCTATAATGAGGACATCTTTCTTTGGTGTCAGTTCTAGAAGATGTTGTAAGTCTTTATAGAATTGGTCAATTTCAGTCTCTTCAGCATTGGTGGTTGGTCCATAAACTTGGTTTACTATGATGTTGAATGTCTTGGATTTGTATTGAAATCATTCTATCATTTTTGAGATTGTATCCCATTACAGCTTTTTCCCACTCTTTTGTTGACTGTGAGGGCTACTCTATTCCTTCTACGGGATGCTTGCCCACAATATGATAATGATCTGAATTGAATTCGCCCATTCCTGTCCATTTTAGTTCACTGATGCTCAGGATGTCAATGTTTATTCTTGCCATCTCCTGTTTGACCACAACCCGGCTTCCCAAGGTTCATAGATCTTATATTCCAGGTTCCTATGCAGTATTTTTCTTTGCAGCATCAGACTTTCCTTTCCTTCCACTGCAGCTGAGCATCCTTTTGGCTTTGGCCCAACCACTTCCTTAGCTCTGGAGCTACTTGTACTTGTCCTGCACTCTTTCTCAGTATCATGTTGCACGCCTTCCGACCTGAGGGGCTCATCTTCCAGTGTCATATATTTTAGCCTTTTGTTTCTGTCCATGGAGTTTTCTTGGCAAAGATACTGGAGTGGCTTGCCAGTTCCTGCTCCAGGTGGGAAGCATTTAGTCAGAACTCTCCACTATGACCTGTCCGTCTTGGGTGTCCCTGCACGGCATAGCCCATAGCTTCTCTGAATAACTGAAGCTCCTTCGCCACGACAAGGCAGCAATCCATGAAGGGGATTCTCTCCCCTACCCAATACCTTCTTACATTCCATATATATTCACACATTAGTGTCCTCCCTTACCCAATATTACATTCCATATATATTCACACATTATTCACACATTCCATATATATTCACACATTAGTGTCTTCCACAGATTAGAAGAAACAGTTGCCATTTTCATATTTAATAAGATGATTGCTAATGGGACCTAATCTTAATTTTTTTAATGCATAGCTTAAGAGTGGCAACGTATACAGTACTGAAACAATGACGTCTATGTTGGCTTGAATGCATAGCTTAAGAGTGGCAATGTATACAGTACTGAAACAATGACGTCTACGTTGGCTTGGGCATGTTGTGAGAATGGCTGATGGTTGGATTCCAAAAGATCTCCTGTATGGAGAATTACTGCAGGGAAATCGCCCCAGAGGGAGACCACAGCTGCAATACAAGGACATCTGCAAGCAGGATCTGAAGGCCTTAGGAATGGACCTCAACAGATGGGAAACCTTGACTTCTGAGCGTTCAGCCTGGAGGCAGGCGGTGCAGCATAGCCTCCCCAATTTGAAGAGACACTTGTTCAACAGGCTGAGGCAAAGAGGAAGTCCCAAACCCAGCAATATCAGGGAGCTGGACAGGGGACAGATTGTATTTGTCTTCAGTATGGAAGGGACTCTCACTCTCGAATTGGCCTTCTCAGCCACACTAGACGCTGTTCCAAGACCTCTGTTCAGAGCATGTGACCATCGTCTCTCGAGACTGAAGGATGCCTATTGGATAGTTGAAGAGTGACAAAGGAGACAATTGAAATGATCCCAGGTTCAGTTCTGGGTATTTCCAGATTATGTTGGGAAATACCTCTGCCTGAAATGCTGGAGAGCTGCTCCCTGTCATGATAGATAATTGACAACTTGAACTGTGCAAGGAGCTTCGCAATTTTTTTGATGGAAAAAATGTGGCAACTTTTGTTTTGTCTGGGAGTTTTATGTATGGATTTATTTGCCTCCTAGACAACAATTTATACTTTATAAGTGACGACAATTTAAGGACGTTTTTTACAACTCAGCAAGTCACAATGCTGTAGAATGCTTAAATTGTATGTCTGTTTCTGTGTGGTTTCTGAAACAAAATATAATTTGGAGGGCTATAATATCCCATCTTTACATGTATAGTTTAATGTCTTCTCCAGATTTTATATGAATTTTCCCAAAAACAAAATAAATCTTGAAGTACCACCTGTTTTGAGGCATGCTTTTTATTAATTATTTCTATCATTTCCTGAGACACATCCCAGGAAAAACAACTGGAGGAAACATAAGCAAGGGGGAAGAAATACAGTCTAATGTATATGATTTACATATAATTCTAATCATATAATGGAGGCCACTTTGTCCATGCTAAACAATTCCATTCAATATAGTTCACCTGCAGTTGTGGAAGACTACTTCTTTAATTATTTAAAAAGAGAGATGTGTGCGTGTACGTGCGTGCATGCGTGCAGGGGAATCTTAAAGCTGAACTAAATGTTACAAAAAGTATGACAGAGCTGTTGAAATGGTTAGTGTAAAGGCTGAAAAAAGTCTGTGCAATTTAGTGGTGAAAGTGTTGGACTAACTTTTGAGAAATCCTGGTTCAAGTCCCATCTGAGCTATGAAAACTGTATGTTTTGTGTACAGATACATTTCTACTGAAATGTGAAATAGCACAGTCCTTTTGTCTTGTAGCAGCAGACCAGTACATTACAGTACAGTGGGGTCTCTACTTAAGAACGTCTCTACTTAAGAACAATCCAACTTAAGAACAGCTCCATTTGCTAAATTTTGCTTCTACTTGAGAACAGAAATCCAAGATAAGAACAGGGAAAAAAAAACTTTCCTGCTCTTTTTTTAACCTTAGGTCATCTTAGGTTAAAAAAAAATTCATATAATGGAGGCCACTTTGTCCATGCTAAACAATTCCATTCAATATAGTTCACCTGCAGTTGTGGAAGACTACTTCTTTAATTATTTAAAAAGAGAGATGTGTGCGTGTACGTGCGTGCATGCGTGCAGGGGAATCTTAAAGCTGAACTAAATGTTACAAAAAGTATGACAGAGCTGTTGAAATGGTTAGTGTAAAGGCTGAAAAAAGTCTGTGCAATTTAGTGGTGAAAGTGTTGGACTAACTTTTGAGAAATCCTGGTTCAAGTCCCATCTGAGCTATGAAAACTGTATGTTTTGTGTACAGATACATTTCTACTGAAATGTGGAATAGCACAGTCCTTTTGTCTTGTAGCAGAAGCAGACCAGTACATTACAGTACTGTAATGAACATAACAGAAATCTTTCTTTTTGTTCTTGAACAGAAACATCCATTGCCTGTGATAATTTACACGTTTTACAACTGATTACAAAGAAAAGCTTGTAGTTTATCAGTGACTGTAAACAGCCCATCTGATTAACATCATTGTTGCTTTACCATCATTATCTTGCCATTGTTATTTTACCTTTGTTAATCTATGACAGAGGTTCTCATATTCTTTACAGTACCAATTTCTACTAAAGACCTGCATATCAAAGACACCATAATCACAATGTTTAACATCCACTGACTTTCTTACCAACCAACCATAATCTTAATGCTATGTACTGTATAAATATTTACCATGTTCTCTTGTCTGATGATGTGGACTTGTCCACAAAAGCTCACATTAAAAAAATATTTAAAGTATTTAAATTACCACCACATTTATTTTAATTTGTTTTCACTTAATTCTTAAAGTAATGTATATGATTGCAAAGAAGTTTTCTAAGTTGGTGTCTTCTTTTCTGTTCTGTTGCAGACAACCGGTTTTACCTTAGCATTGGGTAGCCTTGTTCATGGACTTTCTGTGTGTGGACATGGTAAAGCAGAAGACCTCAGTAACAGGCTATTTACTGCTTGGATGAAAATTGTACTGACAGAAGTAGGTTACTGTGTGTTTTATTGAGATACTGTCTTTATTGAGATACTGTGCACCATTTTTATTAGCACTTGAGTATTTGATGAAACTTGCCTGGCCAAGAATCCCTGTTTGCTTATTACATCTTTTGTGTGTCTTGAGCACATGGGGAAATGTACTTGTGTGTATCTTCATTATGCATATATTATAGTGGATAGATCTGGCAGATTCCTTTCATCTGTGAATCAAGATGTGTACCTTTTGGAACAAACTTGTCATTTCTTTGTAACTGATGTGTGTGCCATTGATTTGATCATGTTAATGAATGTGATGATCACCTCTCCCTAAAGAGATGATGATCATCAGGGTCAGGGAGTCACTGACCCTGATCAAGGTGGACACAAAACTACCACCTTTATTCGTAGCATAAGCCCCATGGACAAGCCTGATCCTGAAAGTAACCTTTGCTTACTTTCAAAGCAATAAACAATGCTAGTCAGTAGGGTTGGAAATTGCATTCCAACTACTTCATTCAATTTTCAACAATGGCTTTAACATCAGCTGTCTTACTGTAGACATTGGCAACCTTGATAGAACATAAGAAGAGGCCTGCTGGATCAGGCTAAGGGGCCATTTAGCCCAACATCCTCTATCTCACAGTGGCCCTACCAGATGCCTCTGGGAGCACACAAGACAACTAGATACCTGTCTCCTGATGCCCCTAGCATTTTGAGGTACCTACCTTTTAAGCCTGGAGATTATATATCTCCATCATGGCTTGTAACCTGCGATGGACTTTTCCTCCAAGAATCTGTCCAATCCCCTTTTAAAGGCATCTAGGCCAGATGCCATCACCACATCCTGTGGCAAGGAGTTCCACAGACTTATAACACGCTGCATAAAGAAATATTTTCTTTTGTCTGTTCTCACTCTTCCAACATTCAATTTTAATGGATGTCCCATGTTTCTAGCATTACGAGAGAGGGAAAAGAGCTTCCCTCTATCCACTTTATCCATCCCCTACATAAGTTTATACATCTTTAATCATGTCCGCCCTTTTCTCTAGCCTAAAGAGCCCCAAATGCCTTTCCTCATAAGGGAGGCATCCCAGTGCAGTAATCATTTTAGTCATCCTCTTCTGCACCTTTTCCAGTTCCACTATGTCTTTTTTGAGGTGTGGCAACCAGAACAGTCCACAATACTCCAGGCGTGGCCTTACCAGCATTTTGTACAATGGCATTATAATGTTGGCTGATTTATTTCCACTCCCCTTTTTAATGACACATAGCATGGAATTGGCCTTATTCACTGCCGCCACACACTGGGTTGACACTTTCATCAAGCTGTCCAACAGCACACCAAAATCTCTTTCCTGATCCATCACGGACAGCTCAGAACTCATTAGCTGATAGTAAAATTTTGATTTTTAGCCCCAATGTGCATTACTTTACATTTTCTTACCTTGAAACGCATTTGCCATTTTGCCTCCCATTCTCCCAGTTTGGAAAGAGCCTTCTGGAGCTCTTCACAATCCCTTCTGGTCTTCGCCACCCAGAAAGTTTTGTGTCATCTGCAAACTTGGCCACCTCACTGCTTATCCCTGTCTCCAGGTCATTTATGAAGAGGTTGAAAAGCACCGGTCCCAGGACAGACCCCTGGGGCACACTAGTTTTCACCTTTCTCCATTTTGAAAATTGCCTATTGACACCTACTCTCTGTTTCCTGGTTCTCAACCAATTCTCAATCCATAAGAGGACCTTCCCTCTTATCCCCTGACTGTGGAGTTTTCTCTGCAGCCTTTGGTGAAGGACCGTGTCAAACGCTTTCTGAAAATCCAGATAGACAATATCCACTGGTTGACTTTTTCGAAGAATTCTAAAACGTTTGTGAGGCAAGACTTACCCTTACAGAAGCCATGCTGATTTCCCCTCAGCAAGGCTTGTTCTATCTGTTTTAAGATTTTATCTTGGATGTGACTTTCCACCATCTTCCCTGGAACAGATGTTAGGCTAACTGTCCTGTAGTTTCCTGGATCCCCCCTCCTTTCCTTTTAAAAATTTGGCATGACATGGACTCTCCCCTAGTCCTCTGGCACTGTGGACATTTGAAGGGACAAGTTGTATATTTTAGTTAAGAGATCAGCAGCTTCAGTTCCTTAATAACCCTTGGGTGGGTTCCATTTGGGCCCAATGACTTATTGATTTGTGTTCCTTTTTATTTTCCCCATTTGGGAAGGATTCTCCATTTACAGAAGGACCCCTTCCTTGCCCTTTAAATCCTCTCTAACTCCACTTGTTAACCATGCCAGCACCCTCTTGGACTTAGTTGAGCCCTTCTTTCTTTGCAGTATACACTTCTGCTGCACCTCTACTAAATTCACAGAGGACACAAAGGAGAAAAGATGTTACCTACCTCTAACTCTGGTTCTTCGAGTAGTCCTCTGTGTATTCACATGTCCCACCCTCCTCCCCGCTGTCCGTCACGTGTGCCACAGTGAAGCACTGTGCCAGGGGTGGAGTTATATAGCCAGGTGTAGGGGAGGTCCTAGCACTAAGTGCTTAAAGGTGTGAAAGTTTCCGAAGACTGCTCTGCTCAGGCGCAGATTAACCCATTAGTGTGAATTCACAGAGGACTACTCGAAGAACCAAAGTTACAGGTAGGTACCTCTTTTCTATTGACGTGAATGGAAGAGAATGTCTTTGGTCCAATTTCTTATTGGAAAAGATGGGTGCTTTTGTCTGTTTTTCTATTTAGTATATTCCTAAGTTTATTTCATTTCAATTTTAGGGTGCCCCTACAATGCAACGCATTGCTGCAATCAATGGGCTGGTTTCTCTGGTAGGTTCTGAAGCAGCCATGCTACAGGTAAATACTCAAGTATACCCATATATGTTTTCCTGAATATTCTTTAGAAACTAATGGCTGAAATCCTGTTAGCATAGCTATACCTGCAGAAGGGTTATGTCATTGGTAACAGGAGATTTTCCATAATAAAATACTTCCTTTTCTTTTCAGAAATGAAAGACTTCCTCTTCAAATTCTGCAGTTCCCAGAATTTCCATGCAATGAAAGGGTTTATTCACAAGTCAGAAAAACCACAAGAGAGAAGGGGAAAATCTTTAATTACCAAAAAATAACCTCCTCCTGGTTCAGTCATCACTCTTTTCGCCTTCATCCTTTTCTGTTTCCAAAGCAGAACAATAATTGTGTGTTCTTCTTCGTGGCCTCTGTGAATCACATCCTGGGTGATTCACGCCTGCGCGGAGCATCATCGAAAGATTCTTGAGCTTCTGCAGTAGCAATAAACACATTCGAATAAGCCCCTCCCCACTCGTATAAGTACCTTGGCACCAAGTATCCCTTTCAGTTTCTTTCAGCCACTGCGTTAAGAGCCTCTTTCTCCATTTCTGCTTCTGTGGGTAAAGTGGAAAAGAGCTTAATTGATTCATTTTTTTATTTTATTTTACTACAATTTTCAGTTAAACAAATATAATATTTTTACTTTGGACTATTGACCTTTCAGCCGCCCCCATCCAATTAATTTTCTCGATGTCAAAAACAACTTCTAAACGTCTAAGACCTACTGAAACTGTTTTGGCTCTGGAGCCTGCTCCTCCAAAAAGAGCTAAACAGTCTAAGCCTGCAACCATCCCGCCACAACCACAACAACTCTCTGAAACAATTTTGGTTGGTTCTCCTTCAGATGATGATGGACTCCCGAATGGTCTCCAGAATGGTCTCCAGAATGGGATGATAGAGTTGACTGCCTAATGTCCTCTCCTCCCAGTCCACATGGGAAAAGCCATTGCTGAATCATCGAAACAATGCCCATCGGCTACACCAGCTCACTCTGATACTCCATCTACATCGTCTAAGACACACAAATCAAAATCCTCGATACCGAAGTCCTCGATGTCAAAAACGACTTCTAAACGTCTAAGACCTACTGAAACTGTTTTGGCTCTGGAGCCTGCTCCTCCAAAAAGAGCTGAACAGTCTAATTTATCGTTTCTTACAAATTCATGGCCCCTTTGGGCCCCTTTAAGCACTGTGTTGTTTACGATAATAAGATCCCACTTTCCAATGGACACGCTAAGTGCCCTTTCTGTTTAGGAGAATAAGATCAAACTTCCTCCTGTACCCATTTCAAAAATTTTAAGCGCGGAGTTCTTTGGTCTCGTCTCTCTAGGCTAAAACTCTGACTTTGGGAACAATCTTTACAACTAGTTCAAATGGCTCAACCTCCCTGTAGGGCCACTTCCCAAACCAAAGCGATGGGAAAAGCCATTGCTGAATCATCGAAACAATGCCCATCGGCTACACCAGCTCACTCTGATACTCCATCTACATCGTCTAAGACACACAAATCAAAATCCTCGATACCGAAGTCCTCGATGTCAAAAACGACTTCTAAACGTCTAAGACCTACTGAAACTGTTTTGGCTCTGGAGCCTGCTCCTCCAAAAAGAGCTAAACAGTCTAAGCCTGCAACCATCCCGCCACAACCACAACAACTCTCTGAAACAATTTTGGTTGGTTCTCCTTCAGATGATGATGGACTCCCGAATGGTCTCCAGAATGGTCTCCAGAATGGGATGATAGAGTTGACTGCCTAATGTCCTCTCCTCCCAGTCCACAACCTTCTATTCCTTCCAGCAATCTTTCGGTTATTGTCTCGCCCGATGATCCTCATCCTGAACAGCTCAACACCGTTCCATGTTTGATGCCCTCGGATTGCCCACCGATCCTCAACCAGAACCATCAACATCACCAATCTCAACACCTTGCTTCATCATGTGTGTTTCAAACACACGCTTAGCACATATATCGGGTTGCCCTTTGCCTCAGCCAACGCTCTGTTCAACAAACTGCACCGACTAGCTGACCACGTAGTTTACCCAGTTCGATAATACCATCTAGCAGTCAGCCTACCTTTTGACAGCCATTGGTGTCAAAACGGTCATGTCACCAAGACATTGCTATACTTCAACCTGCTCTCCACCTGGTACTGAAAAAGCCCAGAACGGTCAAGCAGTTTTCTTCTGCATGTGAGGCTTTTGCAGCCCCAGCCTCCTGATACTTTGCTACTAGACTAGATGATGGAAACCACTCATGCTCAGCATCGCCAGCATCCGTTTATTCTACTGCTATGCCATAGCATCAGCCACCTCCATTTTGACATCACAGGGACACAGGCTCTGATATCGACGATCCTTAATATCCATCCTGGTCCATGGACACACGTTCCATTCCATTACCTCCACAGAGTTCCTGTCCTCCAGTAAATCCAAGTTATCGACCCCAGCACTGTTACAACACCAGGCTCGACACCGAGGTCCATCCCTACCAAACGAGGTCCACGGACACTCAACCACCACCTTTCGATGTCAACAATCCTCAACATCGACAGATGTCCATGGACATGCCACCTCCATCTATTTCAACTCATAACTGGCAATACTATAAAGCTCAGCCTCTCTACACCAAAGTTGATCAACAGTCCGTTGACTCCGAAGGCTCTGACCATGGTTCTCGACCGCAGTCGCCATCAGTATTACTTACCTCCCCAGAGTCAGATACTGTTAACACCAACCCGCCATCACCGGCAGAGGATTTCAAGACTTATGCCCAACTTATGATTCACATGGCTAAATCCCTTGATCTTCAAATCCACCAACCGTTGACAGAACCAGCTGATTACCTATATGATCCGATCTCTAAAAATACAACCACTCTGGTACACATATCAATGTTGCCATCTCTCCTTAGTACTGCACAGAAGTCATGGACAAAGCCAGCTTCCTCCCATACCAATACAGATTGATAACCTCTATAGAATCCATGACCCAGGAGCCATTTTCCTTCAGAAACAACCAGCCTCACAATCGAGATCTCAACACTGACAATTTCTTATACCACCAAATAAAGACAGTCAACAAGTAGACTCTATGGGTAGATGGCTTTACTATTGTGCAGCCTTCACCAAGAGAGTCGCTGATTATCAAGGCACCATGGGAGCTTACCAATGCTTCCTCTGGGACAATATGTCCACCTTTATTGAATCCCTACCAGAGGATAAAAAGATACTAGCTCAAACCTTCCAACAAGAAGTTCTCTCTGTTGCTAACCAACAGATGCTTTCCACCCACCACACTGTAGATGCTACAGCCAAGTGCATGGCCACTTCAGTAGCTCTATGCCGTTTTTCTTGGCTCAGAACAGCCGGCTTAGCTGAAGATGCTCAGGCACGTATTGAAGACCTTCCCTTTGATGGAGCAGGTCTCTTTCATGCTGAAACCAATGATATACTAGAAAATGTACAAAAGAAACGTTCAGCAGCCAGATGCTGGGGAGTCTACCCTTCTTACCAGCAACATCCTCAACAAAATCAATGGAGATGATCTTATAACTCATACCAGACATTCCAATGAGATCCTCCAAGACAAACCTCTCACACTTCATACTTAAAAAACCAAAGAGCCAAACCCCAGCAACAGTCTGCCACTAGGCAAAATGACTGGAAACCTAAACACCATGTTTGATGCTCCCTGACCGAGATCATGACCCACCCCACCAACGCTTCCTTTTAGAAACACCTACAGGCATGGGAATCCATCACCACAGATTCTGGATATTCTCCATCATCAAAAATGGTTACCACATCCATTTCATTGAACTTCCTCCGGTAACATATGTCATCACCCCTCCATCACAACCTCTGCAAGAAGATATAACAAATTTACTCCTCAAAGATGCCATACAGCCTGTCTATCAAAAGAACAGGGGGTTTCTCTCTTGCTGTTTTACCTTCCCCCAAAAGGACGGGGGATTCATCCTATTCTAGATTTGAGAAGATTAAACGACTACATCATTACCACAAAATTCCGTATGGTTACTCTAGAATCAGTTCTTCCCTTACTTCAAAAAAACAAAAAAAAAAAAAACCAAAAACAAAAACGGGTTCACCGGCATAGACCTAAAGGATGCTTACTTTCATATTTCTATACATCCCCCCACAGAAAATTCCTTCGTTTCCAACTTAGATCACAAGCATACCAATTCAAAAAGCTCCCATTCAACCTTGCAACAGCTCCAAGAGTATTCACCAAGTGCATGGCAGTGGTTGCTGCTTACCTCAGACTTCAAAACATTCTCATCTTTCCATATATCAATGTCTGGCTCCTTGTAGCACCTGTTTCACCCTCGTCCTTCTTCACAATCTCGGTCTAACTGTCAACAAACTGAAATCAAAATTAAAACCTACAAAGGCTGTACATTACATAGGCGCACTTATAGGCTCCACACAAGCTCGTGCCTTCCTTCAGAAAAGAGACAGACTCTCATCACCTTACTTCACCGTTTCATTCCTCATGCCTTGATACCTGCATTAATGGTACAATGAGTTCTAGGCACCATGATGGCCTCTATGATGTCAGTTGTACAACATGTGCTTCTGAAAATGAGATCTCTCCAGTCCTGGTTTCTGGCCCTGTTCGATCCACTAACAGACTGTCCTCACACTCTCCTAAGAGTCACTCCAGAAATCGCCTCTCAGCTTCAATAGTGGCGTTCCCATACCAACCTTTCTGTCGGGCGACCGGTGGCGTTCCCATACCAACCTTTCTATCGGGCGACCATTCCATCAACCTCACCCGTGAATACAAGTCACTACCGACACCAGTTGCACTGGCTGGGGGGGCTCATTGCAGATCCCTCACGGTCCATGCCAAATGGTTTCACAGAAAGAAACTTCTCCACATAAGTGAGTTGGAGCTACTAGCAGTCATAAAAGCCTGCAAAGCTTTCAGAAACCTTGTGGGGAAAAATGGTACAGATTGCCATCAACACCAAGGCACTGTACTATATCCTTAAACAAGGTGGCACCCATTCCCCAAATCTCCTGTACATAGAGGTCGACCTCTGGGAGTGGTGTCTACAACATCACATCTGCCTCACAGCCTTACACATTGCTGGTCAAGACAACGACCTAGCAGACTCACTCAGCCACACAGATGCCCAAGCTCATGAGGGGGAGCTAGATCTATGAGCATTCCGTCAACTATGCCGGAAATGGGGCACACCGACTCTTGATCTCTTTGCCTCCGGAACGAATCAGAAATGGTAACTGTACTGCTCCCGAGCGGGGATAGGCAAACACTCCCAGGGAGACGTGTTTGTCGGCTGTTGGCCCAAGACCCTTACCTATATTTTTCCGCCATTCTCTCTCCTCCACAAAGTTGTCATCTGTCTACAACAAGACAAAACCAATGCCATCATTATAGCCCCTTGGTGGCCAAGACAGACTTGGTTCCCAGTTCTCCACAATCTCCCATCAGACATTCTCCACCTCCCCCGCCTGCTACACCTTCTCACACAGAACAACTTCCAAATCCTACACCCGAACTTACCTGTTCTGCACCTGGCAGCATGGAGGATTCCCCCTCACTAATGAACATTCTTCATCAGGCCAAAAAAACTCCACAAGAAAGGCCTACCTGTATAAATGGGAAAAAAAATTTTTTTTACTAAATCTTCCTCATTATCTTCTGTCAAACCATCACTTTCCACTGCCCTCCGCTTCCTCCTACATCTAAAATCCAAGGCTCTCTCCCATCTCATTCTTGAGTCTACTTTTCAGCAAGGTATCATAACAACTTCCAAATTCTTCAGCAGCAAATTTCTTCAAACATCCAATAATGAAACGTTTTCTTAAAGGTCTCTCTCATATCTATCCCGATACTCGACCTCCCTTTCCACAATGGTTGCTAACTCCTGTTTTGAGACAGCTTAACAAAGCTCCTTTTGAGCCTTTAGCTACAACTAAGACTCCTCACCTTTAAAACAGCTTTTCTCGTAGCCATCACCTTGGCTCAACGAGCTAGTGATTTGGCAGCCTTACGCTATGACTACCCTTATCTACAATTTTTCCCTGATTGGGTGAAGTTATTCATGGACATTTTCTTCCTTCCCAAAGTTGTCTTTCAATTTCATCTCTCCCAGCCAATTGTCCTTCCTTTGTTTTTCCCATCACCTTTTTAATCTAACGTACTCAACCTTTTCGACAGTCACTTTGTCTTTTCATAAGCCATCAAGTACCTACTAAAGGCCGTCAGGCGACTTCCCAATCTATATCCAGATGGGTCGCCTCAACCATGGGTCGCCCAGCTTTATCAACTTGCTTGACAACCAGCTCCTAGAATGGTTTGCCTTCATTCCACCAGGGCAGTGGCAGCTTCTACAGTGCACCTCTTCCAGACATCTGCACCTCTGCCACTTGGGCACAGCCTTTGGACGTGCTGTTCTAGCCCCTACCTTGGCATGACACCCTGCCTCTGGGTAAAGACAGCTTATTAGTCACCCAGAGTGTGATTCACAAGGGCCATGAAGAAGGGCAGGTTACCTACCTGTAATTGTAGTCCTTTGAGTGGACCTCTGTGATTCACACATCTTGCCCGTCCTCCCCTCTGTCACACATTTCTGCTTACTATTAAGCGGTGGTTGATACAACTAAAAGGGGATGCTTGGTGCCAAGGTACTTATACAGGTGAAGAGGGGCTTATTCTAGTGTGTTTATTGCTACCGCAGAAGCTCTAGAATCTTCCGATGAGGCTCCATGCAGGCACAAATCACCAAGGGTGTGAATCACAGAGGTCCACTCGAAGAACTACAATTACAGGTGGGTAACCTGTCGTTTCTGCTTCTGTGATGACTTTTTTATAAAGTATAATGAGTAACTAAGATGTATTCCTTTTGACAGACACAGTGTAAATATGCAGAGGTCAGAGTGCTATTTTTAGAAAGCATTTTGAGGAAAAGTGAATGCATAATCTTTAAATATTGATATTAATTACCAAATAATTATCTCACTATTTAAAGGCCGCAAAGACTCCTGTGAGGCACCTTGAAAATTAAGCTGACAGAAGACTCGTTGTTGTTGCTGCTGCTTCAACAGACCTACATAGCTACCTGCTAGGAAAAAAATTATTTAAAAGAAATTACTTTTCAAAAAAAGTCAATTACTTTGAAGTCCATTTATAAGTCTGTCTGGCATTTCATATATCCACAAACCTCTGTTTCAACATCATGCCTCAAATTAACTGTTGACAGTTGGTTTGGATATAAAGAAATATGTTGTCCTTGATGCATCACCAGTTTACGTAGTGTAAATATAGATAGATAGATAGATAGATATAGATATAGATATAGATATAGATACCAGTGCACCTTATATATATATAGGTGACTTACTTTTCCCCCCAGGAAGCTTACAGAGAAGAGAAGGGGATGCAGAACACACAAAATACCTGAAAAAGAACTAGAATGCTGTTTTTCAAAAGCTGTTAAGTTCAATGGCTTGGCTTTCTACACAGCTATATTTTGCTTAATCAGCTACATGATTTCAAGATAAGTTTATTACTAAAGCAAAGCCAGCATTATTAGAAAGTGCTCCTGATGGTTTTAAAATTTGCCAGGTTGTTACACAGTTGTACTTTATTTCATTAAGGGCAATCTGTGAATAGTAATAGAAAATGATACAGGAGTATTTTTTGAATACCTGAAGAAAGAAATATAAATTTTACCCAGTATATGTACTGGTGTATATGTAGTCCTCCTTGTGTTCTTTCCTATCCCCATCTCACAAGACTGCTGTGGGAAATTTTCATGTTTGACTTCTTATCTTAAGGACTTCATAAATTATGACATGGTTTTCTTCTCCTATCCCTCTCCATTCTTTCTTTGGCAGCTGAAAACTGAGTCTATCCAATCTTCCCAATTTCAAAGCAAACTCAATGAAGTCATAAGAACCCTGAGCCAGGTGAGAACATTGCTGTGATGATGTAATGTGGAATGTTTTGCATGGTTAAAAAAAATCTTCGGAAAACAGTCATGAAAGAGACTGCCTTTCCTCATCTTGCTTGCTATAGCTCCCAGTGCAACCTTCTCAGCAGTGTTTGGTTTAACCTGGTCTATTGTCCCTTGGCCTTCTATTAAAAGAAGTAAGTACTTAATTCTCACTTGCATATGAATACAATAGGAAAAAAAACTTAAAAATTTTGGAGTAAAATTAATGGTGTCACACAACTACAATGTTTTCTGTAGTTCTCTGTCACAAGTTAATCACAGAAACATGCTTGACAATGAGGGCTTCAGAAGGTTGCTTGTTCCAATTGTGTTGTCTCATTCAAGATAACCATGTGGTGATTTACATCATGACTCACAAACAGTTTCTATAGCTGATTTCTTCCTCTTTCTCGAGTGTGGAACATGTTGATTAAGTAGACACATTTCTTCAGGGGACAATGTTCATGGGGATCTGAGTTGTGGTGGGCAAATCAATTGCTTATGTCAAGTCTACCACTCTCCAACCGTTTTTCCAAAATAATTCCATTATTCATAATTAAAGGATATACCTACTCCAGAATGACAAGGTCCAGTCATCTAGACCTTGAACGGTCAGATCTCCAGATGGTTTGTACGTCATCATTCATAATCCCTGATCATTGGTCATATTGGCAGGCGCTGAAAGGAGCTGATACTCAAAATGTTTCCACTCCTGGTCTAGATACATAAGTAATGTGGCTGTCATGGCTTTGTGTATGAATTATAAAGATACACAGTGCCTTATTTATATAGCTAATACAAAGTATTTTAATTTTTTTTAAAAAATCATTTATTAAAAAACAAAGAAATGAGGCAACTGAAACAACAGTGTTAGAGCTGGACAATAATTATGATAAACAAAATCATCTCTTCCCACTGAACATCTGGCTAGTCCTATTCCCAGAGAGGAAGTTAAGTGTCAAGCATTTAATATGAGTCTTTCAGATATAAAGTTGGTCAACTAGGGGCCAAACTGCACATTGTCAAATATTGCATAAATGGAAGACAAACTTCTATACTGTACGTTTATCTTTTTGTTAAGGCTAACTGCCAGATCCTTTTAAGTCGAGAGGTAATATTAAAATCACTGAATAATTTCCATTTCTAAGCAATTTCTACTATTGCTGCTATGAGCAAAAGAGCTATCAAATCTTTTTTTTAACCAGTGACCACAGACAGTAGTAAAGCCTTTCATTTCTGTACAGTCTAGTGTTGGATGCATCCCCACTGGCACTTTGGTGAAAGTCCCCTTACAAACTTGACTTATTTAATAGGACACATAGGTGTCATTCATGCACTGCTTTTAACACATTTTCTTTAAGGAACACCAGTCTAGTTTTAAAGACCAAATTCAATGCCAATCTGGAGGTGGAAGTTCCATTTGCAAATTGTTTTCTCAGACCAGTCTGGCATCAGTGGAAAAATTACGTGTTGCCTTAATTAGCCAGTTGTATATCCCTGGAGATTTCTCATTCAAAGCGTTGCCATAAAGTGGGGTCAAATTGATATCACATGACAACAACTGTACCACTCATTGGCATCTACATTTGAAGAAGCCGTTTTAGCCCTAGATGCATGTCTGATTTCAGTCATGGACTGGCTGAGGGTGAATAAACTGAAACTTAATCCAGACAAGACAGAGGTGCTCCTGGTAAGTCAAAAGGCAGATCAAGGTGTAGAGATGCAGCCTGTGCTGGATGGGTTTACATTTCATCTGAAAACACAGGTGTGCAGCTTGGAGGTGCTCCTGGATTCATCTCTGAGCCTGGATGCCCAGGTTTCAGTGATGGCTAGGAGTGCCTCTGCACAATTAAAACTAGTGCACCAGCTATGTCTATTCCTGCAGAGATCTAACTATGGTGACACATGCCTTAGTTCCATTCCAGCTGGATTACTGTATTCATTCTGTGTGGGGCTGCCTGTGGAAAGTGTCAGGAAACATCAACGGATCCAGAACATAGCAGCCCGATTGCTGATTGGGGCTGGTTACAGGGATCACATAACCCCACTCTTACAGCAGCTCTGCTGGCTGCTGATATGTTTCTGGGCACAATCAAAAGTGCTGGATCTAACCTATAAAGCCTTAAACAACTTGGGGCCGAGCTATCTCAAGGACTATGTTTCTATTTACAAGCCTGCTTTGGTGTTAAGATAATCAGGAGAAGCCTTTCTCTCTTTTGTACTGTGTTTGCTACTCTTAAGCTATGCTTAAAAAAACATGAAGATTTGGTCCCATTAGCTATAGTAATAGCAATCATTTTATTAAACATGAAAATGGCAACTGTTTTCTTCTAATCTGTGGAAGACACTAATGTTTGAATGTATATGGAATGTGCGAAGGTATTGAGCAGGGGAGAAATGGCTTTTGTATCAAAGGGACAACATCAGAGATAATCTCGATCGATTTATGAGGTTTGGGTAGACGTTTTCTAAAAGAACATGCTGTACTTGGGGTTGCCTCTGGAATGTCTTTGGAAACTTCAGCGGGTCCAAAACATGGCCGCCACATTGCTAACTGGGGCTGGTCACAGGGATCACATAACCCTCCTGCTACAGCAGCTCCACTGGCTGTTGATCCATGTCCAGGCACAATTCAAAACCCAGGCTGGTTTAAATCTATAAAGCCCTAAACTGTTTGGGTACCAGCTATCTCAAGGAACAGAACCCCCTTTTATGAGCCTGCTTAGGTGTTAAGATCATCAGGAGAAGCCTTTCTCTCAGTCCCACCACTCTCATAGGTGTGATTCGTGGAGACATAGGAGAATGTTTTCTCTATTGTTGCTCCCAAAGTTTGGAACTCCCTCCCACCGGAGGCCAGGTTGGCTCCATCTTTGCTGTCCTTCTGCAAGCAGGCAAATATCTTCCTCTTTAGGCAAGCTTTCCCTAAGTGACTGGCTGCTTGAGTGGGATTTTTTGAATGGATTGTTGTGCCTTACTCCCTTTAATGTGTTTTAGTATTGCTTTTGTTTACCATTTATTAGAGTGGTATTTGTTGGATCTTTTTTAGTATTTGTATGCTTATTTCTTTTAGCTTGAAAAATTGTCTCTTAATGATGTAAGCTGCCTTGAGTCCTTTTTAAGGAGAAAGGTGAGGTACTTTTTTAAAAAAACAAACAGCATATCCATGACATCAATTCTTTGGTGCCTTTATTTGAGTTCCAGAATATTTTATTGATCCTTAGCTTGATGATGTTGGATTCACATAATAGAAGTTTCACTGTTGCTTCACATGTGATGGTTATACTTACAGATAATCAGCTTCTCTGGAGTGATTGGCCTTCAGACAAATGCCGCATGGCTATTGGGACATCTTCATTTCTCCAGTGTGTCTGCAAACCAGAGTCGGACCTCTGGTAAGTCTAGCAGAATACTATGTTGTGGGTGATTCAGATTCAGAAGGCACTTGTGAAAATTTTTGCTTTGAAATTTTTCCTACTGACAAATTAAGGTTGAATTAATTTTTCAGTGCCACAAATTCAATGAGGAATCAGTCATTTGATTGTTTTAGTGCAGGTACAAATTTCCTGTCACCCCTTCCTTGTTCAGGCGAGTTCTGCAAGATATTCAAAGCAACATGTTGAATTAACTGTAATTAATGGGCATCCTGAAGCCATCAGATAGTGGCTTTATTGCCTACCAAAGTCTATGTATTCGAGTGACATTATTTGAATTTTTTTAATGTATAAAGGTCAGTCTTACCAGTTGATCTATTTTAGAATCTCCAGTTCACTGAGAAGAAGATGTGTTGGAGCAGGTTGGGAATGACTTTTTAATGTACTTTTCAGCGATCATGGAGAAGCAACTATTGCCCAAGAACATTGTCAGGGAAAGAGGAAGGACTATCGCTCTGTGGTAGAGACTATACTTGGTGCAGAAAATGATTCATGGTTTAAGCCTTAGTATCTTCAGATATGTCTGGGAAAGACTGCTATCTGAAAGCCTACAGAGGTGGTGCCAGTCAGAGTAGATAGTAACTATTGTCCTCCAGATATTTTTGGGATTCACTGCCCATCTCCCCTAGACAGCATAGCCAATGGTGACAGACTATGGGTTTTGCAATCCAGAAACAAGTGGAGATGAATGGATCAGTATTCTGACTATCTATCTATCTATCTATCTAAGAGCTGCAACTGCCCACCTCTTGTGTGGACCGTTCTGAGATGAATGGATCAGTATTCTGACTAACTATCTATCTATCTATCTATCTATCTATCTATCTATCTATCTATCTATCTATCTATCTATCTGGATCTATTCTGATATATATATGGCATCTTTCTGTGTTCCACTGTCACCCTATCAATTATTATTTTTCGCTATGGCGTGAGACAAACAGTTGGTCTGATGGGTATTCAATATAACATTGTCTTCACAGTTCCTCCAGACTTTAGCTACCTGTCTGAGAAAAGCTTCCTCAGGGCTGCAGTTGACTTTGTCATTGAAGGTGGAAAGAAAGGTAAGCCAAAAACACTCAAGTTGGAGGAATATTTATTCTGTGGCTTAAGTGGGATGTATACTCTTTGCCTTATTATTGCTGAAAATCATACGTTGATCTGTCAGTGCTGAAAGCATGGTACAAACGCATTTCTGTCATTGCATAATGTCTTCAAAAATAACTTCTCATTGACACTATGCTTGTGTTTATTTAAAAAAAGGAGCCCCAACAATCAATTGAGGTTGGAAGAATGGTATAATGAGATGTGGAATCTAGCTAATAATGATAAATTAACTTGTGAACTGAAAGTTAGAAAAGAATTATCAAAAGAAAACAGTTTTAATGTCATCCGTGACCCTTTTATATAACACATATTTACTAAACGTAGAAGTTATTGTTACAAACAGCTATGATGTCACCTGTCCTTCAAGGTTTAGGCTGGAGTGTTAATATCCAATGGTGGTCGGAAGGCGGGACATCAGGGGGTGGAGCTGTGATATATATGGGTGTGTATGTGTGTGAGGGTTAGACGAGGATCAGTTTGTGTTGAGATGAGATAGTGATCAGATTGTGTGGAGATATGAGTCTGTGTGAGCTAGAGCCTTTCCTTATGTGATTACCTGATTTATTTGTTTTACCAATCTTAATGTACCAATCAATAAACTTTAGTTATTTTGTTTAAAATCCATTCCGGCCTGAAGATACTTATTGCAGGGAATGGTTGGTGGCAGACTACCAGAAGAGTAACAGTGGAGTGACGTAGCGACCTTCCTTTGTGAGGTAGAAGGAGGTCGTTACAGTTATATCTCAACACTAGAATCATTATAATTTTGGAAAAAGATGGGGCACTGATATAAATTAATTGTATTCTTTATGATTTTATATATGTTCCGGCCTGAAGATACTTATTGCAGGGAATGGTTGGTGGCAGACTACCAGAAGAGTAACAGTGGAGTGACGTAGCGACCTTCCTTTGTGAGGTAGAAGGAGGTCGTTACAGTTATATCTCAACACTAGAATCATTATAATTTTGGAAAAAGATGGGGCACTGATATAAATTAATTGTATTCTTTATGATTTTATATATGTTATATTGATGTGTTTTTATCTATGTAAGCCGCCCTAAGTAGACATTGTCTAGAGGGGTGTGGTAAAAATCTAATAAATAAATAAATAAATAAATAAATAAATAA